ATCAACAGACAACTGCAACCCCGCCTGCCCAGATCAGACGATACACTTTCCCACTTTTTTCCCTATCAGTTTGTTTATCTCAAAACTTGATCACAAGAAGCGTTTATTTGGCAGCTTGATGTGCCTGTTTAATAAAATATCAATAAAGAACTGAATTGGCTTTCATAAAATTAGAATATTCTATGGAACAGCACTGTCTTTGTCAGGTTACGGAGATTCCCGATCTAGGGCAACTCAATACACGTCGATTGATTCAGTTCAGCGTTATCTTTAGTGTCATTATGTCATTCAATGACATGTTTACTGTCATTAGGTCAATTGATGACATGTCATATGTCACAAGGACCCTGTGATAAAGCCAATCTATGACATATTTATCACAACACCTATGATTTTTAAAAATTAATTGTAAAAAAAAAAAAATCTCAATCCACTTTTTATAATTTTAAGTCATATAAAGCCTTTATATTGTCTAAACCCACGACTTGTTATAAGTCATATAAAGCCTGTATATTGTCTAAGACAACAGCTCTGTGTCGGAACAAGGCACCCATTATAATTCTGTGTGTGTGATGACGTCACAATTAATTGTTAGACAAAAAATTCAATTAATTCTGACGTTACATAATACAGACATAAGTAGAATTATAATTAGCCAACAAAAACTAATAGAACGAAGAATGTTCGAGTTTTAAGATATCGTGCAGACGTTTAAAAAATCGATGATGTAAACTTTAACGGTACAGAAACTCTTTATATTAGGAGTAAGGTTAGGTTTTAGGTTAATTATTGTTACAGGTGATTGTTTGTTAAAGAAAATGGTGGAAAAACATTAGAAATAATTTTTCACGTTTAACAAAATATTTGTATGCCATGGGTTGCGTGTGTGTGTTTGTGTGTGGTTGGCGGGGGGGGGGGGGGGGGCGGGGGGTGTGGAAAGGGGGGGGGAAGAGTTAGAACTATATATATATCAGGGGCGTAGCGAGGGGGGTGCGGGGGTGCGGACCGCACCGGGTGACACCATTTAGGGGGGGTGACACCAAGGCAAAAAATAGCAAAATATATAGAGAAAAACTTGAGGGGGGGGGGGGTGGCGGTGCAAATCGAAAGTTTGAGGGGGGGTGTGCAAATCGAAAACTTGAAAGTTTGTCCCCGGGAAGTGTCCCTACGCCTCTGGGGGGGGGGGGGGGGTGACACCCGACCTCGCTACGCCACTGATATATATATATATATATATATATATATATATATATATATATATATATATATATATATATATATATATATATATATATATATATATATATATATATATGGGTAATATGTTCAAAAACACTCCGATGACAGAGTGCGTGCTGCCCCCCGCCGATTGCGTGTTGTATGTGTTCAAACTCTACAACACGTATGTGTAATCAAACAAACATGACCATCATATATTTAACACATGTGTCAGATCTACAGGACTGCGTCTCCCCCGTCCCCTCCCAGCGGGGTAAACAGATTGACCACCGGGGATGTCCACACGCACAAAATGAGATCAGTTTGGCACTCGACTCGTCTGATTACGTAATTCACTCAGAGTTCTCTCCCAGCTTTACGAGTGTCGGCTAATGATGTTAGTTCTGTGGTTCTGGTGATGTAGGATGTACACATCTAGGGGAGGGCACTGTCATTTACAGACGAAAGTCATATACATACATAGATACATAGATACATAGATACATAGATACATACATACATACATACATACATACATACATATGTCAATTATGAGTAGAAGTACATGTTCGTTTACATTATATATATATACTAGCCGTCCCGGCCAGGCCCTGCTCTGGCTTCTGTGAAAAACCTTTCTGTTAAAGACCATTACCTGTGTGTTTAGTAATCATCATAAACCCGGCATTGCACACCCAAACCAAAACCAAAACAACAAAACGCAAACATAAAGCTAACACAATTACAAATACAAACGAAAACAAAAACCTAACAACTAACCCAACCACAACCACAAACACCAATACGAACACAAAGAAAAAAAAAAACGAAAAAGCAAACGAAAACAAACCAAATCCAAATGCAAAACCAACCACAAACCCAAAGAAAAAAACACAAACGAAAAAACAAACGAAAACAAACCAAATACAAACGCAAAACCAACCACAAACACAAACACAAACCCAAAGAAAAAAACAAACGAAAAAGCAAACGAAAACAAACCAAATACAAACGCAAAACCAACCACAAACCCAAAGAAAAAAAAACACAATAGAAAAACAAACGAAAACAAACCAAATCCAAACGCAAAACCAACCTCAAACACAAATACAAACACAAACCCAATGAAAATAAAACACAAACGAAAACGAAAAAAGAAAGAACAAAAACGAACCAAATCAAAACGCAACCACTAACGCAAACCCAACCTAAACACAAAGAAAACACTAACGCGAATATAAACGCAAAGTGCTCACGGTGCTGAATCGCCTACTTCAACTTAATAAACGACTATAGTACCCCAACTTATTCATAGTCTTTTGCACTCACTTTAATGAACGTAGGCGCGAAACCGAACACGGGAGGCCCGGGACCCCAAAAAGCACCCTGTCTGGGCGCCAGAGGACGCACCATGACGTCACCGCCTGATTGAACTTAGTAAACGCCTATAGTGCATAACTTATTTATAGTCTTTTGAACTCACGCGAACGTAGATACCATAGCGTACACCGGAAGGCCCGGGGCGCCAAATAGCACCCTGTCGGGGTGCCGGAGGACGCCCGGATTTGATTCACTTAAAGACTATAGTAACCTTTCTTATCCATAGTCTATCGCACTGTTTAAAACAAAATTATGCAGCATAGCGCTCACATGATAGCCCAGGGTGCCAAATCAAACCGTGCAGGGGCGCCGGCGGACGCGCCTGTTTCAATTTAGTGAACAAAAATGATAATACTCCAAGCTTATCCGTAAATGGAAAGAAATAAACGTATATGATTTGTAGGACCTGGCTTATTAAATGTTATTGATTAAAAAAAAAAATAATAATTATTGAACAGTATGTTCAGTGTATAGAATAAATAAAAGGCAGTGTTAAAAATACCTAACGACATTGCACTTAATCAATCCCCGCTAATTGTGTAATTATTTTTTTTTTCTTAACACCAAAAACAAAGTAATAAAATGTTAATTCTCTCTTCTTAAGGATTTATTTTTCATTAAAGGGAAGTAACTTTGCAGTCAATACATTTCCTACACAATTTTAGAAATTTTATAAACGTCGATACACTTTTTAAAAATTTTATGTCGCGTTCATAATTGAAAATTATTCTTCTAAGTAAATAGAATGAAAATTGTTTTTAAAGACTTTCAATGGTAATTTTTCGACTCGTACATTTAGACTCTGAGCACGATAAAAAATCTAACACTTAAATCCGTAGAAGTGTCAACGACAAACTTTTTTTTTTTTGCCACACGTTACAGAACTGAGCTTTATATATTAGATATATATACATATATGGATCAACATATGTATATAGGCCTACATGTATATATAAGTTTATATACAAGTATATATATATATATATATATATATATATATATATATATATATATATATATATATATATATATATATATATATATATATATATATATATATATATATATATATATATATATATATATATATATCTTAGGATTAGAGTACATCCATTTAAAAAAGTTTCTATAGTGCTGAGGGAGAAAGAGGGGTAGGAGATTGAGTTAAAACGGCTGTTGACATAATGAAGAGAGGAGAACTTGACTGTCAAGTGTTATCTATTGTGCAAGGTGTGGCGACCTCAAGTGTTTTGTGCTGACTTGCTGAAATAATTTTTTTGTCTAACTCAAGTTGTACTGCACAAGTAGAGGAAGTAGAAGGTTTTACAGAGTTAACCAGCTTTGTCCAGTATGAATGTGACTGCACCACAGAAACGAGTTTTGTGTTACTTAAGTTGTGCTATAAATGGCCTCTCCCCCCCCCCCCCCCACCAACACATAAAGTAAAAAAAAACTTTACGGGTCTTTTCCTGGCAAGCCCCGCCACTAATGCGAAAAAAAAAACATTCACGAAAAGTTAAGTCCCGCCACTTTTTATGTCAGCTCCATTTTAATGCACGCATGCAACCTTGAGAGTTAGGGTTTGGGTATCGAAACACAGACCTTTTCATACAAATTATTAATGACATGTCAACGACCATTATCATTATTGTCATCTAAAAGCTCCGTTGTCCAAATGACACATGTCATACTTTCAAATCAAGTTAAAATCCTAGCATAGGAAAAAAAATCTACATAAGCTGGTTATTCTAGTAGGTGGGGGAGGTAGATGAGTATTGAGTTTGTTGATTATGCGTTGTTTGGGGGTTTGTTGTTTAGGCAAGTAACAACATTCTAGATTAATGCCAACTTAAAGGTTTCTCCAATAGAGATCTAATGCCGTCTTTAAATTGTGTCTACTCTAGACCTAATCTTTAAATTGTGTCTACTCTAAACCTTATGCCGTCTTAAAGTTTGTCCATCACTATACAACACCTGAACGCAGTTACTCGTTAGATTGTTTGAGCAGAAATGACGCATACGTTGGCTTTTCGGGAGTTGTCCTACTTCACGCATCTCCCCCCCCCCCCCCCCATCGTCACAATAAGTCACACACGTTAGAGCTCTTCCCCCAGCTTCGTGACGTCATCTATTGATCATCACCTTAAGAATAATTACCGAACCCTGGTCAAAGCAAGATTGATTAAGATGTTGGTACATTTACATCCACAAGTTAATTTACGAAATCTTCTACATTTTTAGTTTAATCTACACTTTTTAGTACCTGGCAAGATATCTGCGTGTGATTACTGACACAGCTGAAGACAGACGAACTAATTAACAAATCAGAGTTTTTAAGCAATTAATTCTAAAGCCCGAAATAAAAAATTAAAATACGTTTCTCTTGTTAAAAACTCTCTTACCTGATGTATATTAGCCGTTAAATTCTTCACCGGAAATAACACAACAAGCGGTAAAGTCCACGCGCTGCTGCAATAGCCTCGACGACTGTGTGACGTCACGTGCCGTGTAGTGTTGAAATAGCCCGTCTCGCCGCGCAGGATTGTAGCCGTCTCTCTTCTCGCGAGATCTCGCTCGAGGTGACGACCGCAGCGCGAGAGAGAGCGAGGGTCTTAAAAATGTTGCCATATTTTCGCCGACTCCTGCCCAACGTTTGTTTACACTTTGTATTGAGACCATTTTCGACTCGGTTTAGAGTTTTGGTTTATTTAACGATAACGTCATAGCTCGGCCACCGCGGTTGAACAAATACACACGATGGCCCGGTATTTAAATACACACGATGGCCAAATATTGAAGTTACGAAACAGCGGGTTAACGGGTTAGAGAGCGAGGGAGAACTGCGTTAACGAGAAGGAGAGTTTGGATTTGGTAATAATTGTGAAACACTGGCAGTCACTGAGTCAGTCATAAGTATATCAAAATCATGATAAGCTCAATTGTAAAAATAAAATCACTATCGCAGTTTATACAGGCGGAACATGATTTACAGCCGTGTATGTATGTGTGTGGTTGTTGGGGGGGGGGGGGGGGGGGTGAAGGTGACTCCAGTCAATGGCGTCACAAGGCGGGGTGAGGGTGCGAATTGCACCGAGTTACACAATACAAAAATACAACGGGGTGATACCAAATTGAAAAGTAGCATTGTGATGAGATAATCTGCTTTTCCGGTTAGTTTAATTAAGTAATAGCATATTAAAGTTAAAATCATCATTAGAAAAAATGTGACAAACATCCTAGGGACGGGGAAGCAGGTGACACCACATTATATCTTTAGCGGGGGAGGTGGGGGGGGGGGACAACCCGTGTTACCACAGAGTGAGTTGTTCAACCTTGTGACGCCAGTGGCTCCAGCTACCACCTATGCTACTGTATCATGCTAAAGTTACCCTCAAATGGTCTCCAGATAATATGGTTCACAGAAAATGACTACTGAATGAGCACCTTGAACATATCCTTAAGTTAAGTGTTGTCGAAACTCTATCATTAATTAGGCTAATAATTTTATAGTTACGTCTTCCCGCTTTAAAAAAAATCCTACCCCTATTGCCCATTCCACCAGGTACCTTTATTTTTTTTTTTAAAAATCACAGGCCACGACATGTTTGCAAGTCAGCCCTAAACCTGATCCGCCACTGTTTTCTAACCATAGGATTGGACATAGACAAATCTTGTTATTATACAATAATGTTTTTTTTTTGTTTTGTTTAGGAAGGCACACTCGAAATTATAGCTGACTAATCATAACCCAAACCTGTTTTTGTGTTTATCTATGACAATTTCCTAGCTTAGTGCGACACATACACAAGGACATCTGTCAGAGCGATGCGCCATTTCTAGTACCGTAGCCAAGCACGGGTATAAATAAGCTAGTGACTTTTAGAGACGGATTAATATAAGCATTGGAAAATTTTGTAGTTAGTAATTTTTATTTATTTATTAAGTTTGATGATGCTCATCTCCTTAGATAATATACATAAAATATTTCTTTTGATGTAGGTTTTAAGAAATCTTGATTTAATAGTGGGATTGACAATTAATACATGACAATATATATATATATATATATATATATATATATATATATATATATATATATATATATATATATATATATATATATATATATATATATATATATATATATATATATATATATATATATATATATAAATATTTCAGCATGGGTTATACAGTGAAATTAAAGCTAATATGTATCATTCTATCACTGCATACATGATCTAACTAAAAAAATATTTCTTTACTCACAAAACTTAGTCGGTTCCTTGTCAGAGGTTCCTGACCTTCAGCCAAAATCAAATCCACGTTTGTGATGTACACAATGTTATTGAACGCGCGACAGTGGTTTATCGAGTCACGGTTCATTGCGTCACGGTTCATCGAGTCACGGTTCATTGACCTTGCTTATATTCACGGTCAGAGAGGCCAAGCGTCCAGAGACTAACGGTAATTTAATACTCTGTGGCGTGACGGAGCTTCGTCACAGTGACACTAAGCCACGTCACACGGGGTGCCTGTAGGGGACTGAGTTTAGGCTAGGATCTGAGTGCTAAAGATCCTATTTAGGCTAGGATCTGAGTGCTAAAGATCCTATTTAGGCTAGGATCTGAGTGCTAAAGATCTTACCAGTTTAGGCTAGGATCTGAGTGCTAAAGATCCTATTTAGGCTAGGATCTGAGTGCTAAAGATCCTATTTAGGCTAGGATCTGAATGCTAAAGATCCTATTTAGGCTAGGATCTGAGTGCTAAAGATCATATTTAGGCTAGGATCTGAGTGCTAAAGATCCTATTTAGGCTAGGATCTGAGTGCTAAAGATCCTATTTGGGCTAGGATCTGAGTGCTAAAGATCATATTTAGGCTAGGATCTGAGTGCTAAAGATCCTATTTAGGCTAGGATCTGAGTGCTAAAGATCCTATTTAGGCTAGGATCTGAGTGCTAAAGATCATATTTAGGCTAGGATCTGAGTGCTAAAGATCCTATTTAGGCGAGGATCTGAGTGCTAAAGATCCTATTTAGGCTAGGATCTGAGTGCTAAAGATCCTATTTAGGCTAGGATCTGAGTGCTAAAGATCCTAGTTAGGCGAGGATCTGAGTGCTAAAGGTCCTATTTAGGCTAGGATCTGAGTGCTAAAGATCCTAGTTAGGCGAGGATCTGAGTGCTAAAGATACTATTTAGGCTAGGATCTGAGTGCTAAAGATCATACCAGTTTAGGCTGGGATCTGAGTGCTAAAGATCCTACCAGTTTAGGCTAGGATCTGAGTGCTAAAGATCCTATTTAGGCTAGGATCTGAGTGCTAAAGATCATACCAGTTTAGGCTGGGATATGAGTGCTAAAGATCCTACCAGTTTAGGCTAGGATCTGAGTGCTAAAGATCATACCAGTTTAGGCTGGGATCTGAGGTGTAAGTTGAGGTGTATGTTGAGGTGTATGTCCCGATGTGTTGTAGATATTGTCTTAATGATATTAAAACATCTTTAACTGTTTAATGAATAAATGTTGATGTCGTAAGAGTGTTTTGATGTCATTTTCTGGTAGTCTTGATGATGACGTTTTGATGTAGACTTTAGAAAATCTCGATTTGAAGGTAAAACATCTGCAGCACGTCTAAAGGACATATAATGACGTCTTAAGGACGTGATGAAGGTGACAATGACGTGATTACAACATGACGTACGTGTGTGATGACTCTTTGGTACGTCTTAAAGATAGGCTTCTATAGGACTTTATAAAGGACGTGATAGAGACTGATAGAAACATATTCAATATAGACCAACAATAATAATATATCCCTCTTGTGTATTACGTCACACGCTAAAAGCTCGGCACCGAGAAAGTCTTCAGACCCTGGTTCTTTTACAGCTAATATTTGAGCAGAACGGCCTCGCGTTTGTATGAGTTTGTAGAAGTTTGTAGAAGTTTGTCAGCGTTCTGTTCGTCAAGACACGACAAAAAACAAATGGTACAGGGAACCATAAGCCCACCCGTGACCGCCGTAGACATACGTACATAGAGTCGAGGGGAAATAGGACCCCACAGCAAATATATCGTCACGTGATTCCCGCTGATTTAACGGCCCACTACAACGGCGGAGGTTTGTGAGACAAGAGCGAGAAGTGGCTTGAATAGGTCGTGTCGGTGACTGATCTATCCGACACGACAAAAGGTCGAGGTGACATGAGTGTGACAAACTGAGCACATATCTTGCTTGTAGAAATGTACTCTTTTATATACTGCATATATATATATATATATATATGCATGTTTATATATATATATATATATATATATATATATATATATATATATATATATATATATATATATATATATATATATATATATATATATATATATACATATATATATATATATATATATATATATATATATATATATATATATATATATATATATATATATATATATATATATATATATATATATATATATATATATATATATATATATATATATATATATATATATATATATAGACACACACTAACACACTCATCCCCACACTTACTCATATACACACAAGCATATAACACACGCATACAGACCCAAGCAAACACACGTGTACACACACATAAACACACAGAGACTTAAAAACTTAAAAACTTTACATGGAATTTCTCGCTATTCAACAAAAGAGAAAGTAAACGAAACAATTCGTTGTTGAACTAACGTCAAGTACTTTGTTTATTTTTCTACAAAGATTTTTGTCCGAAATATTTCAGTGCAGCTACAAAGGTATCACTTTACATCGCTGTAAAAATAACATAACGTTCTTGTATTAAAACTTTCGATTGAAATCTCAGTTGAGCCGCACCAGCTGTGAATTGTTCTACCGTTATTAACAGCTTACCATGCAGCGTTACCCATAGCGCCAGAACAATAGAGTTTGTCGTATCATACTTCCTGTCGTGGGAACAAATCCTAGCTTTGCATTCCTTTCATCATGCAAGGTTTAAGTGTACTGTAGCGGCGTGAGATAAAGTAATTTTACGGGAATCTTGTACACTTTACGTAGTTGTACGCTGTCGTGCTTTGGTGAAATAAATCAACGCTAGTCTCTTGTTTATATACAGATACAGTTTGTTAATTGACAAATGGTTTGGACACATCTTGTGCATGCCAACAAAAGAACATCACTGGACAGGCGATTGGAATCCCTAAGGAAAGAGGAAAGTAGGTAGGCAAAAATAGACTTGGGAAAGATCAGTTGTTAGTGAAGGACAGGCAGACGGATTGTTATGAACCAACTTAGAGGAGTCGCCACAAAACCAAGGACGATGGAGAGGTGGGGTTACGTCCCTACGATCCACAAACAATCCACTGAAATGATGATAACAGACACACATACAAGATCACTGTACACATACAAGATCACAGACACACATACAAGATCACTGTACACATACAATATCACAGACACACATACAAGATCA